TCTCTCATAGTTGAGGTATACCGATGATGAAAATTACAGGCCTCTCTCATCTTTTTAAGTGGGAGAACTTGCACAATTGGTGGCTGACTAAATACTTTTTTTCCCCACTGTATATATATATATATATATATATATATATAGTTTACGTAAACTTTCCAGAATCTGCAAAATGTTAATTATTTTACCAAAATAAGAGGGATCATACAAAATGCATGTTTTATTTAGTACTGACCTGAATAAGATATTTCACATCAAGTACTAAATAAAAAATAACATGCATTTTGTATGATCCCTCTTATTTTGGTAGAATAATTACCATTTTGCAGATACTACAAAGTGTATGTAAAATTTTGACCACAACTGTACATATATATAAACATAGTTTTAGTTTACTAAAAAGCTACAACAAAAATAATCTGCCTTTTATAAATAAAGACAAAAGTACCAAATTACTAAAAATGCAATATAAATATAAACTTCAAAAAGTGATATTTCAAAATAAATATTTTAAAATCATTGTAATATTTTCATAAAAAGTAGAGCATGCAGGACATTTTCTTGCATACATACGAAAACTGCATCATTCTGGATAAACTGAGAATCTGAAACGGAGGATTTGTTTTTTTTTTTTACAAATGTTTTAAAATAGAGATTGCATTTTGCCCACAATTCTGAGAGGAAAAAAAAGAAATTAGACAACTAAACGTAAAAGCACAATGCTCATAGAGCGCCAAAACAGCTTCATGTTTTCCAGATATCATTCAGATTGATGACTGACTCTTTCTGAGTGTCTGCTCAGTTCACACAGCATCGTCTTCAGCTGATTTGACGGTGTGCTACTGACCTGCCAGCCCTTGTCTGCCGTCCTGTAGTACGGGTAGTTCTTGGTGATGTGTGTGTAGATGCCGTTTAGTGTTAGCTGCTTGTCCTGCGCCATCGTGATCGCCTGAACGATCAGCTGAGCGTACGAGTACGGGGGTTTGGAGTCGTCCTAGAGAAACAGAGGATTTCAGCTTTCAGATGAACTCATTCAGACTGGATCAGAACAGACGGACAGTTTTCTCCAGGTGCTGTACACTACCTGTCAAAAATGTTGAATAAGTAAGATTTCTGGAGGAAAGAAGCCTCTTCGGCTCACCAAGGCTATATTTATTTAATGAAAAATACAGTAAAAGTAGTAATACTGTGAAAAATTCGTGCTAATTAAAAGAAAGTTTTTCTATGTGAATATATATTTTAAAATGTAAATGATTGCTGTAATCAAAGCTGAATTTTCAGCATCATTACTCCAGTCTTCAGAGTCACATGATCCTTCAGAAATCAGTATAATATGCTCATTTGCTGCTCAAGAAACAGTTCATCAACAGTTGTGCTGCTTCATATTTTTTGTGGAAACTGTGCCACATTTTATTTTTCAGGATTCTTTGATGAATATAAAGTTCAAAAGAACAGCATTCATTTAAAATAGAAATCTTCTGTAACATTATACATGTCTCTACTGTCACTTTACGGTCAATTTAATGCATCCTTGTTAAATAAAATGTCTTTCTTTCTTGTTTATTTTTCTTTAGTCATACGTACTCAAAACATTTAAATGATCACCGTTTCCACAAAAATATTGAAGCATATTAGAATGAGTTCTGAAGGATCATGTGACACTGAAGACTGGAGTAATGATGCTGAAAATTCAACTTTGATCATAGGAATAAATTACATTTTAATATATTTTCAAACAGAAAACGGCTCTTTTCAACTGCAATATTTCACAATTTTCTTGTTTTGACTGTATTTTTGATCCTTGGTGAATTATTCCTAACTTCTGACTGGTATTCTAGATCTCTCTGGTCATTACAGCTCTGCTAGTGTGAGGTTTATCAGTACAGAAAGCGTTGGTCACCTTTGGACTGTCTCCTTCCGACGCCTCCTTGTCGTTCTCAGACTGGGAGTTATCATTCATGAGCTGCAGGTCAGGCACCATCCTGCCCAGTCTGTAGCCGGACGATCCCGCACCGCGTGGACTGGATGGACACGAGTTAGCAGCGCTGATGGAGAAACCACAGAGACATGCATTTCCAAACACTCCAAAACCATCATCTGAGACAGAGCGGTGGAAACAGATGGATCGCAGGGAAGGAGGAAGCTTAATTCTCTATGCCTCATTTGTGTAACTCAATTAAATCAATCAAATCAAAAGTGGCCCATAAAGGACACAGCTGCAGCTGCAATTCAAACGCAAACTCAACAAGAACATCACCGTTTCTGTTCCAAATGCTCTTGAAATCTTTTCAAATATATGATTTATATCTTATCTTTCAACCAGTGTTGTTTCATTAACTAAATTTTTTTTACATTTATAAATAAATATATAGATTGAATATAAATATATTTCTAATTATATTTCATCATTTAATTTATATGCAACAATATAGCGCTAAACATCAATTATCTATATTTTAATTAAAGCAGAGACTTTCATGAGCATTTTTGATGCAAATTAATTGTTTAATATACAGTGGGTACGGAAAGTATTTAGACCCCCTTAAATTTTTCACTCTTTGTTATATTGCAGCCATTTGCTAAAATCATTTAAGTTATTTTTTTTTTCCTCATTAATGTACACACAGCACCCCATATTGACAGAAAAACACAGAATTGTTGACATTTTTGCAGATTTATTATCCACTCCACAGAAATTGCTTTTATATTTTTAATAAACTTTATTAATTTTTTTCACATGCACTTTTAGACAATTACTAGTTTTGTTTAGTTTTCTGTATTAATTGTAGTTTTCAGTAGTGCGGGGCGGTTTCACCAAAAATTTATATCACGGTTGGGGCTAAAATACTGAAAAAAAATGCGATACGTGATACCTCGTTAAAAAATGTGATATTCGATACGCGATACGATATTGCTTAAAGTGTGAAAAATCTATTTAAATTATATTTTAAAATATAAACATTTTCATTAATTTAAAACATAACTGACTGCGTTTACGAGAATGATCATCGAGACGGGTACTATTGACAATTCTGTGTGTATGTGTCTGTTCAAACATAAGGAGGAGGAGATGCGAAAGACGAATCAACTCTTTCGCGCGCCATCTGAAACGAGTCTCTCTCTGTGTGTGTGTGTGTGCACGTGCGCTTTGCACGTGTGCGGCAGAACTGAAGAGACGCTGCGCAAGATGCGATATCATTTTTTGCCAATATCGCACACCCCTAGCGATATTTCGATATTTCATGCAGCCCTAGTCTGAAAGTTGCTAAATCTAGTGCTAAAGTCGCACTCGTGTGTGTGAGACGCGGGAGCTGATGGCACGGGGCGGTGGATATTTGTGGCGGTCAATGTGGATATTGTGGATGAGTTCTTCTGTGTCATCACGTTCTATTAGTTCTACAGCTTCAGTTTCGGAACTTTCATGCTTAGTAACACATACAGCTGTTCCCTCACCACAGTGCAACAGTGAAAAGGGACCCCTTTCAAACAGTGTCGCGTTCCGAACGTTGATGAAGCGACATACACCGGTATTGCGGTATTTTAAAAATTCATATCATAACAAAAATAAACACCGGTATTCGGTATGAACCTGTATACCGCCCAGCACTAGTTTTCAGTCCTTACAAGGCAACACTACTTCTGTTCTGCCAATGGCAACAAACCAACCATCTGCATGTCAATTAAACAGATGCTTCTTACCTAATTGGGAGATTTTTTTTATTTAGTCTTTGTTCCAATGCAAACTCCCACTCTTAATTGTTAGTTGATTCAAATAGTGGACATTTTGTTTGCATGTGCAAGAAACGTGGCCAAATAAAATGCACATTAAAAGTTTAATCTTGCAATCTTCTAAGGTTCCTATCACTAACAAAATAAGAAGAAAAATATTGTAAATTGTTCACAAATTGCTTGGTCCATTAACCCGATGGTGTGTGTTGATAATGTTGTGTGTGTACCTGATGGTGCCGGTGGGCGAGGGCAGGGGGCTCATGAGGTGAGCGATGTTATCGGGGATGTTGATGGTTAAAGGGGAGATATGTGGCTGAACCGCTTTCACCGGAGACTCCGGCTCCTGCTTCTCACGCTTGACGCTCGCCAGCGCAGTGAATGTGATCTTGATGTTCGTACTGGGGAACCGAAACGTGCACCTGAGAAAGAGAAGAGAAAGCGATTATGCAACTTAAGAGACATAATCTTTATAGATCAAACAAGCATCAACATGAACCTAACGATGAGATCTGCGGACCAAACAAATCTTCACACTTCCAAAACACATGGGTGGAACGTTTAAGGCGGAGAAGAGGGCATTTAAAGAGTCTGAAGTCATAATATTAATTTATGCGACAATGTTTTTTACGGACAATTAACACAGAAATACATTGATAAATGAGTCCTAGTGAACAAGCACATTAAAGGCAGAAAAACAGAGAAACTCACAGTTCGGGATGTTCATATGTGCAGAAGTGTAATCGGTTTATTAAATGCATGAAAACACTCTCAACGTGCCTCAAACAGAAGTTTCCTTTGGCTGAGACGACTGTGGTAATAAAGCTCAGGAGTATAAGCAGATCTCCAAGCGATGCTAAAATTAACCGCCCCTTGACAAACTAATATTCAGTGTTAACACTACCAGCCCTTAGGAGTAAACAAGTCACTTCACCCACCAAAACATGACCAAACACGGCTCACACAGAAACCAGTTATTTTAGCACTGCTAATCGTACAGCATTACAAGACACAATGTTCAATATATAATAATAAAATGCATTAATAAATCACAATTCTTACAAAATGAAATGCCATTGAAAAAATACCTTTACTTAAAAAAGTGAAATATTAATATTGTTATATTTATTTATATAATATTTTTATTTATAGAAATGTATTTTATTTATATAATATTCTTTATTTATATATTTATTGAAATATAAATACATACATATATATACCTATGTAAGGGTTGGAACGATACATGTATTCGTACCGAACCGTCACGGTACGGACATCTCAATGCAGCGCTGTTTGATAACCGGCCGCCAGCAGAAGAACAGCGAATGCCGTGAGTTGTGCACTTGAAAACAAAGCCCACTAGACAGTGACCATGTGCTGATTCTGAATGCGTCTCTCACAGTCTGACAAAGGACAGAGTATACTTTAAAGCAGGGATCCTCAAATCTGGCCCACGAGATCCACTTTCCTGCAGAGTTTAGCTCTAACCCTAATCAAACACACCTGAGCATGCTAATCAACGTCTTCAGGATCATTAGAAAATCACAGGTAGGTGAGTTTGATCAGGGTTGGAGCTAAACTCTGCAGCGCATTGGCTCTCCAGGGCAAGATTTGAGGAACCCTGCTTTAAAGGCTTGTGCACTCAACTGTTTGCGAAATGGAGCTTTGTGCTCGTGTATCCTACCTCTCTCATTCGGCACAAATCCAAATATTCCATAATATTTCTATATTTGCGATGTAACGTATCTGAATGCTAAACTATTATTTATTATGCAAATATATACATTTATGTTTGTACTTTAGTCGCGTTCCAACGGTGATACAGAGGCGGGCGCGCTGATGTTTGGTTCACTGTATTTTATTTTGATAAAGTACCAACTGCGCTGTCAAGTTAGCAATGCTGGAACTGATGTTTTGTGTGTGCGCGCACCGGCGCGATCACTTCAACTGTTTTCAGTACGTGTCACACTGATTTTTCCCTTGTTTATCTGTAAACTAAATCAAATATATTTCAAGAATGCATTCCTTGTATGTATATTATGTACTGCAGATTTTATATACAGGTGCATCTCAATAAATTAGAATGTCATTGAAAAGTTCATTTATTTCAGTAATTCAACTCAAATTGTGAAACTCGTGTATTAAATAAATTCAATGCACACAGACTGAAGTAGTTTAAGTCTTTGGTTCTTTTAATTGTGATGATTTTGGCTCACATTTAACAAAAACCCACCAATTCACTATCTCAACAAATTAGAATACTTCATAACACCAATAAAAAAAAACATTTTTAGTGAATTGTTGGCCTTCTGGAAAGTATGTTAATTTACTGTACATGTACTCAATACTTGGTAGGGGCTCCTTTTGCATGAATTACTGCATCAATGCGGCGTGGCATGGAGGCAATCAGCCTGTGGCACTGCTCAGGTGTAATGTTAGCCCAGGTTGCTTTGATAGAGGCCTTCAGGTCATCTGCATTGTTGGGTCTGGTGTCTCT